ACAGAACTCTGTTTCACACCATGCTCCCTCGTACTGACCGATGCTCTGCAGTCAAAGGTTCAAGATCCTTTGGTCTTGAACCATGCAACTGCAAACTCTTTCCTAGAAGACTTCACAGAGGAACCCTAGACCCTACTTTCCGCAACCCATGCCTCCCTTGGAGTTAAATCTTGGGAGTTAAGCTACTAGAAGCATCTCAGGGAAAATTTCCAGGATGCTATCAGGAGTTCACAGTTTCAGATTAGATTTTCTGATTACTCAGTATAGTAATCTTGGGAATACATTTTGAACTCCTTTTGGATAAAAACCTCCTTAAGACAGAATTTAACAATGTTCCCTGGCACGTGGAAGAATTAATGTGCCTCAACTACTACACTCTGAGACTCCCCTAACTAGACTATGTGTTCCCTGAGGCTGCATTTTTTTTGGTTTTCTTGGCAGGTAGTGGTGGGTACTCAATACATGCTGAATAAATAAACAAATCAACTATCTAGAAAACCATTTTTGCAAATTTTGGGTCACAGTCTAGTTCTTCCCAAGTTCTATGAAGCAAGGGCACATACAATGTTAAGATGTATCAACTGTCTAATCCTCGGTTTGCTGCCATATTGGAAACCACTCTTCTGTGAAATAATGGTTTCAGTCTGTTTCTCAAGGCAGAAAGGAGCTGACACCCATCCAGTAAGTAGCAGCCTAGGAAGGCTTCTCCTTACTGCATGATTGCAAGAGCCTGCCAAGCTCCCTTCTCAGTAGGTTCTGACGTGCTTTCATGAATCATTTAATAGGCGTCTCTCCTTAATTTCAGTTCAGAGCACCTTCCATAGCCCTTTTTCTCAAATTAGTCCCCAAATAAAAAGACATATCCCTGAGAAAGTGAAGCAATGAGTCAGCTTGTTAGTCTGCTCCAAAACTTCACAATAGCCCCACTGGAAAGCTTTTATAAGTCTTTCAAAAACCTGCTTCTCCCTCCCTGTAATTTCAGCCCATTCTGTCATGGTCTCTCCCAAGCAGGCTCATAGAAGTACTGCCCTCAAAAGGGTGCCCAGACCCCCCACGTCACCAGCACAAAGCTGGAAGGATTTTCCCTTCCTTGTGTGGCTTTGCACAGGTCTTCATGTACCACCCAGACCCAAGAGATTTCTCCTCACCTAATGCCTATCTGGAAGGCTTAAGATGGTCACTGGCAGCCAAGTCACTGGAGAAGAAGGAAGAAGAGGTCTTAACTTTAATTCAGCTCCCACTCTCCAGGAGGCTGACCCATCTCTGGCACAGAGGCTGGCCTCCAAGAGGCCACTGACTGCTCACCTGCATCTTGTCCTGCTGCCAGGAGAAGAAGAGGTCTTAACTTTAATTCAGCTCCCACTCTCCAGGAGGCTGACCCATCTGCTGGCACAGAGGCTGGCCTCCAAGAGGCCACTGACTGCTCACCTGCATCTTGTCCTGCTGCCTTGTGTGGGACATGAGAAGGTCTTCAGTGGATGGCATGCCTCTGGGCAGCTCCGTCGTGGCCAGGCAGGCCCCAAACGTCTGCAGCATCTGGGCAGTAGTCTTCAGTGTCAAGGCAAAGTTTTCAATGGCCTGGAAGGTCAGATGATTATAACAATGTGGAGAGATTAACATTCACCAATATGCTTTCTGTTTAAAAACTAATTAATTTTAATTGACACATTGTAATTGTACATATTGTGGGGTACAATTTGAGGTTTTGATATGTATGTATGTTGTATAATGATCAGGTCAGGGTAGTTAGTGTATCCATCAACTCAGACGCTTATTGTTTTTTTGTAGCAAGAACATTCAAAAGCCTCTCTTCTAGCTGCTATGTAAAATCAATATCCTTTCTTAATGAAAGGATAATAGAACCAGCTACCATTTCTTGAGTGTCTGAGAAGGGCCACACCTTGTACTTGATGTTGTATATTTGCCTATCATCTCAATAATCCAGAGTAGGAGGCATTTTATTTCCATTTTGTAGAGGAGGAACTGAAGCTCCAACAAGTTAATTGCCCATATTCATATTACTTGGGCAGACAGGCAGGAAGGCAGGATTCAGCCAAGGTCAGCTGTTTCAAGTTCAGGGCTCTGTTCATTACCCTAACGTTAAGTCTGACCCAGGATTAACACTAGGTGAAATGCTACAAAGAACAGAACCACCCAGCCTTCCCTCTAATTAACCTTTCCTTCCCATCTAGCCCCAACATTGTCCTCTATCCCTCCTACACACACATACACACACCAGCTACCCGATGCCTCTGAGAAGCTTGTCGAATGCTGCTGAGAGGACACAACAATTGAGGAAAAAGATGGACATAGTGATTAGGTCACTAGTGACCTTCAAAAGAGTCACTTCTATCAGATGTGGGAGGGGCTGGGAACTTCTTCCTCTCATAAAAATTTGACTGTCCTGTGTCCCTTCTACTAAGGACCCTACTCTGCCATTAAATAAATACCTGCTAAATGGTTAGTGGCTTCGCAGCTAATATCCTGGTGAGATATCTGCATTTTAGCAGAGTGCTTTAAGAAAAATGTGGCCTACCCTAGAAAAGGTGACGCTGCCCATCAGAGGAGTTAGTTGAAGGTGTAGCTTTTCAGAGTCCCACAAATCATTCCACTCAGCCAGATGGGCACTGTCTGCCATGCCCACTTATCTCTGCTACTGTGACGACTGTTTTATGTTTTATGAACTTTAATGACATTGCAGCCTGGGGTGACCCTCATCAGATTCACTCAATTGAGATATTCTATGTGAGCTTCCCTCCATATCTCTCATTTTTAGACTTATTTAGAATTACATGTTCATGAAGAACTTGACCATTTCTTTTTTTTTCTTCATAAGATTCTCTTGAAGTTACCATTATTGTGGCCAAACTGATGAAAGATTTAAAGGATTCTGCCTTCCTCTAGATTTTGGGAAAAGTCATGCCTTCCTTGGAATTTCACAGCAAAATGAGATAGGAATTAGAATCTGTAGCTTTGGAAGAAATGCACTGTTACTAGAAATCTATTTTTGTTTAATTCTTAAATTTCCTTAAAAAAAACCAAACTCACAAAACATTACAATCTAAAACAGAGTGAATTCTTATACCTAATTAAATGTAGTTCAGGTGTTCATTGGTAAATATTGAACAACATGCTTCCAACCTGACCAGATACAGAGATACCACAAGTTTTTATCAGGGTGGTAAAGGGAGCCTCTGATTTTGCAAGAAAACCAAAGTTTTTCAAGGGGATAGGGGAAAGGAGAATGAAACTTTATATAGAAACACCTATTATTTGGTGAGTGTCTTGGTCTGTTCAGGCTAATATAACAAAAATACCTTAGACCAGGTACTTTATAAACAACAGAAGTTTATTTCTCACAGTTCTGGAGACTGGGAAGTCTGAGATCACGGTGCCGGCAGGTTCAATGTCTTGTGAGGGTCTGTTCCTCATAGATAGCTTCTCCGCGTCCTCATATGGCAGACGGGGCAAAGCAGCTCCCTTCAACCTCTTGTATAAGGTCACTAACTTACTTAGGGAAGAGCCTTCATGATTCAATCACTCACCAAAAGGCCCCACCTCTTAACATCATCACATTGGATTCCAATGTATGAATTTTCGGGGGACACCAACATTCAGACCACAGCAGTGAGTTTCATCTCACTTTTTCCCTCAATATTACTGAGACTTCTAGTTTAGCATAACAACCACCAATATGAGTAAGTAGAAAAAGTAGAATACTATATATAAGGTGCTTTCACAGACAACACATCACTTATTCCCCACATCAAACTTTCAGGTAGCTTTTGTTAGTCCAGGATATCTCCCATTGGCACTATTCACATTTTGGGCCAGATGATTCTTTGTGGTGGGGGGTTGTTTTGTGCTTCGTAAGATGGTTAGCAGAGTCCATAGCCCCTACCCACTAGATGCTGGTAACCCTCTCACCCAAAGTTATGACTATAAGAAATGTCTAAAGACACTGACAAATGTCTTCTGGGGGGCAAAATTATCCTCAGCAGAGAATCAAAGGGTTAGTCCCATTTTAACAGAGGAGGAAACAATCTCAGAGAGGCTTAAGTAACTCACTCAAAGTCAGACGATAAGTAATGGTGACAATATTTAAATACAGCTTCTCTGACTTTGTGGGCTTCAATCTGTCAGCACATTAGAATCATCTGAGGAGTTTTGTGAAACACTAATGTCTGAGACCCATCCAAGATCAAGTAAATGAAGTTCTCTGAGGTATAGCAAGATATTGGTATTTTTGACAACTCCCAGGTGCACTCTAAGTCAA